TTCGCCCTATACACTGTACTCGTCTCTCTCTCTCTCTCTCTCTCTCTCTCTCTCTCTCTCTCTCTCTCTCTCTCTCACACACACACACACATGACTTTTATTGCATTGCTTGGCTTCGACTTAAATTTTACTTCATGGATGCTATTTCATGGTTATATTCATTGCCATGTTACATGATATTTGCATGTTTTGCTAATTCTCTTCCCTGGCCATGGCTGCTCAACATATGACTGAAATAATGAAATTGAACTGATACTTGTTAACCATGCCTAATCTTGTTATTCTTTCTCAGATTTAATTACACGCACTATGACAAGAAACATGGGGCCATACACAAATCTATTGAGGCTTTGGACAGGATTGGAATGGATATAATAGAAACTGGAAATCCAGATGCATTCAAAGAGTATCTGTTGGAGTTTGATAACACCATTTGTGGGCGCCACCCAATTAGTGTTTTTCTGCATGTAAGTACCTTAAGTATTGGCTTCAGTGTCTGAAAGGGAAGAAGTTCAAATATTGTTCCTTAAATTTGGCAAGGAAAATACTACATATTATAACTGATGTGAGAATATGACACCCTAGGATGAAACAGGGTAAAAGCCTGAAAAATTAGGTTCCTCTTTTCAGTTGGAAAGGCTATGCCTATCAATGAAAAACACCAGTTACATTCATGTTTCAATGACCTTTATACTACTGTGTCTGGATTGTGGAGACAAATTTAAGGCATTTGCTAACAAACATGTGAGGGATGCAGCTGTCATAAGTAGAAGCAAATATAATGAAAGGAACCTAAAGATATCCTTGTTATTTCTATTTCATATTGACATATTGGAGGCATCAAATCAGGTTGAGGGGAATAATGCGAGGGTCATCTTTTGAAGAATTAAACTTAGTTTACCTAGACAGCAAAATGGTTCTTTTTCATCGCTCATAAGTTTGACTCCAGCTTTTCAGTTAACTGCATCTAGAATATTGGTTTTGATCATTATTTCATCCCTTTCAATCATATTTCAATGCATTCAGATGCTGAAGAACTGTTCAACGAGCATAAAGATCAATTTTCTCCGATATGAGCAGTCGAGTCAGTGCAAAACTATGAGGGACAGCAGCGTAAGTTATGCATCTGCAGCGGCAAAGGTAGATGCTTGAAGATGTATTCTCCTTTGTGACATTAAGCAATTTAATTTTCGTCAAATTGACTGTAATGTTTAACTCAAGTAAATACGCATTTCATGAACCCTCCTAGGGTTCCTCCTGCTTGTAGATTGCCACTAATAATGGATACCCTCCGATTTCTTATATTTAGTTGCAGATCAGATCATGTATTGGTTATCTTTAATTTTTCTTAGAGATTCAATCCCACTTGAGCCCAAACTTATAACTAGTGATACCGATCAATCATCCCGACCCTTTTCTTCTTCGTCAAAGAGAGATTGGTGAGTTCTGGCTCAAGTGACGAGGTTGAAATGTGATCAAGATCATTTAGACCCAATCTCGACCCATCAGAATTGTGTAATAATCCTGTCAACATACATAACAAAAAAAGTGGCTCTTGGTGAGGGGTGGTAAAGTGAAATAAAAGTTGCACCCCATCCTTGACAGAGTTTAGGGTATGGAGCTTAGATTTAAGTGCACTCTATTCTTGACAGAGTTGATATGTTAGGGTATTGAGCTTACATTTTAAGTTTTAATTCTCAAGTTTCTGGCCATGTTCCAAAACTTGAGAGTGAACCTAGGGCTTAGGTGAGAAACGGGTGTTGATCGAAATTTACACTAGTCGCGATTGGACAACAACATTGATTGGCAGCCAGGCACATCCGTTCCATAAGAAAGAAGAATGAACCTTGCTCAGGAAAGAATGGTTACAACTTACAAGAAATCATGACTGCAAATTTTCCAATAAAGTCCTGAATTTATTTTAGATTCATATAATTTACTGCCCTTAATGCCTAAACAACATAACATACATTATCTAGAAATGAGATCTTATTATGTTTAGGCCTCTATTATCTAGAGATCACACACCAAGGGCTTTTTTCAAGCTGGGACAATGCAATCGGATTCCACAGGCTGGCAGCTCTCCAACTTGCCGTCAACCAACGGGCAACATACCCCATTTATCTTCATCTTCCAAAGGCTTCATTGTCCCCATATATTATTATTTTTTGAAAGTATATTTCACCGAGTCTTTAAGACGTGTACGGAAAATGAAAGTATTATTGAAAAATAAATACTTATGTGTATAATATAAGTACTAAATAGGAAAATGTTGAATTCTTTATACGGGTAATAAGTAAAAAATCAAAAGAGTACAATAGAGACTCGGATAATGACATAATAGTAATGGATAATTTTGTAAACTACGATAAAGGAAAATCAGGGAAAAAATTAATGAAAAAAAAGAAGAAGAGAGTACAGAAGGAGTACAGCTGTGGCACGATCCTTTTTAAATATATTATTTAAGGAGTACAGCAGGACGGCTATACATTTTAAATATATTATTTAAAGCGTATAGCCGAGCGGCTATACGTTTTATTTATTAAAATAAGGGACCCGCCTAGGCGGCTCATTTTTCGAAAACTTGAATGGCGTTTTTTTAATTTCTGTTTAAATATATTATTTAAAACGTCTAGCCGTGCGGCTATACTCTTTAAATATATAATAGTATAGCCGAGCGGCTATACTATTTATTATATATATAAAAAAAGGACCCGCCTAGCCCGCCTAGGCGGCCCATTTTTCGAAAACTTGAGCAGCGTTTTTTTTAGCACAACTTTGACTCCAGTTCTTCAGTTAACTACATCTAGAATATTGGTTTTGATCATTATTTCATCCATTTCAATCATATTTCTGGTGAGTTTGGATGTAAGTATCTGACAATGATCTCAACTCCTTCCCATCTGGAATCTGCAACCATTTGCCTCTCTGTTTTTCCCACCCAGCAGCACCCCACACAAAAATCTGCTGGGCCAAAATGACGTGGTTAAATAACAGAAGTCACATTAGAGTAGAAGCCATGCCCATGTCTGAAAGTAATTGTAGTTTCCAATATGCATCAGCACCAGAAGAAACTAGTGTAAGACTGAAAAAAAATCTGCTATAGTCTTTAGGAAACTCACAATACCTCTTGATCACTTGCATGATGAAGGCATGCTTGCTTCAATGACAGATGCTTTTGCAACTCTACGATCTCCTTATGCAGTACAATCAATGGGACTAGAGGGGGTGGATTCTGCAGTGTGATCGAGAGAGCAGGGACCTATCATATTTATAACTGAAGTGGCGTGTTCTTCACAGATTTCTTCCCATTAAAGAAATATGTCAAGGTCTTTCTTGAGCACCCAGTCTTGTCTCCATGTTCTGCATTTATTATCACATAAAATATGATATCCTTATGTTTAGTCTGTCTTTACACTCTGTATGAGCAACAAGGTGAGTTGT